CGACTGAACAATACTCAAACTTCATTGAAGCATGGAATAGATGGCCACATACTATTGTTGATGCTCCTTTGGCACTTGGTGAACTTGATTGAACATCTGAGTACATGCAATGGTATTGGAGACATACAAGACGATGGATCCAGCATAACATCTTACTCGCAGTTAGAGAACAACGATTTAATATGAATTCTCAACCATCTCTACCAACAGTTAAGCTGCCTCGTCCACAAATTTCTTGAGATAGACCAAGCAAACAGCAAGGTGGTTACTTGTCTACTCAACCACCAATTGTAAATGAAAATTTAAGTGAACAAGAGCCTCAAAATTTTAGTCATTCTGATAACATACCAGTCTTATCAAGCCCTATCACCTCTTCTAATCCAACTCATTTTTACCCTCATCACATGCCATCATCATCGACATTATCCCATTCTGACTTACCCAATCCTCCTCAATTTCAGTCATTCATGTCCTTATTTGATGATCCTGCATTATTTATTGATCAATATAACACTTCTTCTTTTGAGCAAGGTGATCCATCAAATGAGGCATTTGTCACTCCTCGACAATCAATTTCTTTAGTCGAATCATCTTGGTTTGATTTAAATACGCTAACTATGTAGACAAATGAGACATTAGATCAAACTCAAGAAGTAAATATACAACAATGACCACAGCATGCACGGAGGAGACCAAGATGTTGCACTGAGAGTCATTATTTGTGAGGTAAATTAATTCTTATTTTGTTAATGTCAATTTAATTGTTATTTGTTATTAATTTTATAACACTTAATCATTACTTATTTTCTTTAATCACTTTTTAATTAATATAATATTAATTATTACTATTATCATTATATAATTATTAACTCATTATTCTAATGATATGATCATTATTAACATCCTTGTAGGAATACTTATTTGGTGAGAGATTGTGAAGAAGTTGTTCAAATGCTGATGAAATTTAAAAATTGTTCACACCAAGATGAATTTCAGCTAGACGGAAAACAAGGTTTATTGGAGAAATTGTTCTTACTAAGATTAACTTTAAAAGTTATTCAAGCCAAGATGAAGTTCAGCTGCATGGGAACCAACGTTTATTGAAGAAATTGTTCTTATTAAGATGAACTTTTAAAGTTGTTCAAGCCAAGAACAATTTTGAGTGTAGTATTTTGGGAAATAATTCCCACTATGTAGCATTTGAAGATTTTTTTTTTCTGTTTGCAGCATTTTGGTAAAAATTCCCCAAGTAACACAGAGTTGGGTCCGATTCTAAAGCCCAAAACATGCAAAATATAAGCCCCTTTTCACTCCGTTAAGTGAGGAGAAGGCTTTTGATGAGTGAGAATACATTATTAGTTTTGGACTAGAAGCTGAGGATCAAATAAAATATGAATTTGATAGATTTTTTTTCTAAAAATTCATGGAGGAGATTATCATATTTCCACAATTCAATTAGATGCGAAATCTAGAAATTTTCTCAATATACTATTTATTTTTAATAAATCTATAATTAATATCTAATTAATCTTAATTAATTATTAATTAAATATAAATAATATTAAATAAAAATTATTCTATTGAGAATTTTAGAATTTTAGTTATAATTTCAGAATAATTAAATAAAAAGAATGCCGAATGCCTTATATAAACAGAATCCATACTATATACTCATATGCTAAAACAAAATACTCATGCGTGAGAGACAATGAATGACTACTCTATATTGATGGGAATATTTGGGAAAGGAAGGAGCACTTTGCGTGTGGCTAGAAAAGGCAGAAGTATAGTCTGGTCAAAAATAAAAAAACTAAAAACGCATAGAACCCACGTGGAATGTAAGAGAAATGTGTGTAGTGAGTCCCACTGAAGTTGTTCAGACCAAGAACAACTTTCATTTTGTGATATGGGTCCCACTGAAGTTGTTCAGACCAAGAACAACTTTCATTATTTTGTAATGTGGATTCCACTGAAGTCGTTCTTACCCTGAACGACTTTTGTACAAATTTAAACTTGTTCTCCGTCTAAACCATTTCAGGTGTAGTATCTAAGTAAATATTTTTTATCTTATAGTATATGAGTAAATTTTTTTACTGTTTGTCGTGTCTGGATAAAAAAGCCACTATGAGAGACTCAAAAGGGTTTTGACTAGCAACCCCACCGGCTTTTTTGAAAATGTCGGAATGCTAGGGTCTTCAAGAATGAACACACTACCACGTTGTCCGTGGCAAATCATGCTGGAGCCGTCCTAAACAGTTTCAACGAGGCAAGGGAGAAGCTTCAGCGAGTGAACTTACGAGGCATTAATCAACAAGATGCTGGGGATCGGATAGCCATTTGGAGGGAGATGGCTGGGTTCATCTCCACGTTGATGGAGCATTTTCCACGCAATTGGGCAAGCTGGTTATGGTGGCCTCATCAAAGACTAGAAAGAGTCAATTCTGGAAGCTTACGTGCTTAACCTTGGCAAGGGTGATTCTCTTTTGGCTGAATTATGGGCCTGTTTCGTAGGACTTGGACGTGCTTGGGAAGAAAACTATCGACAAGTGTGCTTGTGAAGTGATTGCTTTGAAGCTGTGAAGCTGATTAAAGAAGGCAGCAATGTAATGACTTACACATACATGATTGCCATGATATCCTTAGTAGGGATTGGCTTTGTTGACATCTATTGTTGCAGAAGGAATCAATAATGCGAGTTGACTTCCTAGCTAAAAGAGCTCTCGACCTCTCCCCTAGCTTCCACGTGGTACCCCTTGTTGATCTTGGCCCTATCTTTTCCGGCCATCTAGATTAGTTTCTTTAGTTTTCGCCTCTATCAGAAAAAAGAGAGAGAAGAAAGAGAGTATCTATTTTTTTTATTATTTTTATAAATCCTAAGTACCATATCTCATTCTTATAAATCATATTTTTATTTTATAATTTGCTTGATCTATTAGGCTCAAGTTTCTCTTGTTCAGTGTGTCATAATTTTCTTAGTCATGTTTCTTTATGATTTCCTTGTCGTATTTAACTAGGTGAGGTTTGATTCAACGGTGGTTGTGGAGCTGCTCTCAAGCTAAAAAAAAAACATATGCACTTAAGAGAGTGTTTGAATGAAACTAAACCATGGTTTGACTAATCGCTTTTAGAGAATAGATTTTGAAAAAATAGATTTTGTGAAGAAAGATTCTGATAAAGTGAAAGTGTTTGGATAATTGTTATCAGAAACACTTTTTATATGTGCAAATTACTAAAAAAGGCACAAGTTAATATGATAATTACATAAAAGATAGATTTTATAATATATTTTAATTTGAAAGAATAAAATTGTTAATAATATATTTTTACCAACATAATTAATTATATATAAGATAATGTAATCAATAAATAATTAATATGTATATATATTTATAAAACATAAGATTAAGTATGTTTATAGAAAAATAATTGAAGGGTGTTAAAGTCATATTACTATTAGGATCTACTATAACAAGCACAATCATACTCTCCAATTTGAGCCAGAAGCAGAATGGATTCACTTCTTCTGAAACCATAATTTTTGCCCAAAATTGTGGTTTGCTGATTTTTCCCTCTATTTGGCAAATTGGTTTGGATCCCAAAACCATAGTTTCAGGTATTTGCTAAACAGGCTCTTAGACTGTGTTTGACAACTTTGAAAAGCACTTAAAAAGTGTTTTTACGTAAATTGAAATAAAATTTCTCTTATATATTTACTTCAAATTTCATAAAATCACTTTTTTTTTGTAAACAATTTTTCAGAAAAGGGTTGGACTCACCCACGATCTAAGAGCAGGGCACCTAACACTTAATCCACTGGGCCTATCCTTACGGGCACAGGAACATGACAAGCAAGCTTTTTTTTTCCTAGCCCAATAGGTAGAAATCTCCTAACTTTACTATACTGTGGTGATACCTCTCTCAATGCCGCGATTGGAGCTACAACAAATTGGCACTCCCTAGGATCAAACTCCTCCTTTTGATGATAGAGTTCGACCCCTTTGCCAACTGAACCCACAAACGAGGGGTATAAAATCACTTTTAAAAACCTAATTCAAATACCATTTAATGAATAATTATACAGGCTGAACTTATTGATGTGGCCCATTTGGCTTGTGTTTACAAGAGACGATTCGACACATTAACCCATGAAGGGGGTAATTGGGCCCTTAAAATTATGGCCTGTCGAGCTATCAGCAAGCGTGGCCCAATAAATAGTTTTCCTCGACCCATATTCCCAACTTGATTGGATTTTATAGTACTTCTCCTGTTCTTAATATAAAATCCAATTCTTGAGTTAGTTTTGGTCCTAAATATAAGACTCATTTTTTATATTTATCAATTTTTTTTAAATTACCCCTATAAATATTCCGTCAATCATAATCAAGTAGAAGATGGAGAAAGAGTATTAAGAAAGATGATTATAGTGTTTTAAGAAAAATGTGTCACTTTTTTTATAATTAACTAACTCACTTAACTTTCCTAATCGAATCAAGTTAGTTAAATAGATTTTATATTAAGAACCGAAAGAGTATTTAAAATTGAGTCATCGATAGTCAATAGTACACAGATTCCCTGCTATAACTATTGATTAGTAATAATAAAATACAACTATTTTAAAACTACTTTCCAACCATATTAATGTAATTTTAGCGTGAACAGATATATCTACTCTAAAATACTGTCTGAGTGATTTTTCCCCCAAATATCCTTGTCCAAGGAAATTGGTTTTTAATTTTTTTTTTCTCAGTAACAAACTTGATTTTGAACTATAAAATCCCATTTGTATCAAAACCGTTATTTCTAAAACGAGCCCCAAATGATCTCAATGATGTTATATTCTCAAGGAAAAAAAAATCTGTTTTCTGTGAAACAGGGAAAAAATTCTAAAGTCCTGCAAAATATCAGCAATTTACTTTTAACATATTTGTAATAATAACTGCAACCGAAATGATAATGATGCCCTTGAAACTCAGTTATGTTTCTTAAAATTGATCCTTCTATTGCCCAAAAGATTTACAACCCAGTGAGCTTACTTAGCTCTTTCTTCAATAACTAGTCATTAGTAAAAACTAAAAGCCTCCTCTCCTCAATGATCAGAACCTACCTCTATATGTACAAAAGTTAGTAAAAATCATAACGCAAGGTTTTCTAACAAAAACTAGAGATCTCTACATCCCTTTTAAGTTATGATTCTAATTTAAGATTTCATCAAGTCTTTCAACTGAACAGCATCATGAGGTCTTCAATCCTGGTTGACCGAACCTCATCATCTGTGAGGGCTCCAGATATCATCTTCTGCTTCTTAGCCTGCACTTGTTGCAGCCTCTCTTCCACCGTATCCTTTTGTTAGTTTCAACAATGCACATAATATTCAAGTCAGTCTTCAATCAGAAATAAGACAGAAGAAAAAGGCTGTGGTGTTTCCAGACAACTGAACCAACAAAAAACTAGGAAGGAATCAATTGTATAAAAGGGAAAGAGAAAAGGACTTTGTCCGACTACTGTAAGGAAAAACTTGGGCGATATGATCCATCATTGTCAATCCAGTTAGTTCAATCAATCGCAAATCGGACACAGAAGAAAAAGGTTAAAGATGTTTCTGGGCAACTGAACTAACAAGATTTAAGGAATATATAGGAAATGCTAAACAAAAACCTGATCCGTATGATCCTACAGACAGTAGAATTAGAGACCAAATTCAAACCCAGAGTAAGTGATATTTGGCAGGTTCAAGTTAAATGACACTTCTACATTGTTTACCTAAAAGCTGTATGGCTATGGCACTTCATTGGACTAGCTAACGAGGGAGAACACAGTCACAGTAATAGAACTTTCTGGTCAATTCAAGAAACCTCCATAAAGCCAAATTACAATCTACACCAGTTTAGACATCTTGGATTGACATTGTCAGTGAAAAGAAACATTAGCTCACCTTGACAATGAATCTTTTAACCATAACTGTTCGCTTTTGTCCTATACGATGGATTCTCATGACTGCTTGCTCTTCAACCGCAGGATTCCACCAAGGATCCTAGATATTCAAGAACCGAAAACATGAACAAGTATAAAGAAACTTACCACCAGGTAAGTTACCTTATGAAAACATAACTCTGCATGTTGAACAAACATAAACTTACCATGATGAAAACATTTGAGGCTGCAGTCAAGTTCAAGCCCACACCACCAGCTTTAAGTGACATTAACAAAACCTGAAAATCGGGTATAATAAAAAAAATAATTCAGTAGCTATCATTACAGTTTGAAAGAGGGGCTTGGAATTCATTTATGTTCTTTACCCTTTTCGAGCTTGACTCATTAAACTCCTTCAAAACTCTTTCCCTATTCTTTTGTTGCAGACTCCCATCAAATCTAAAATACCCAATTCCTTTCTTCTTCAAAGCAATCTCCAGGAGGTCCAAAAAGGCAGTCCACTGGCTGAACACAATGCTTTTTTCAGCAGGGCGATTTTGCCGAATGTCTTCCAAGTTTTTCAAAAGCTCTGAAACCTTGGTAGACTCCTTCCAGTCCTTCTCAACATCAGAAACCAAGAACTGATTCTCAAACGGACAATTGATTAGATCAGTTCTGTTTAGCATCTGACGACAGATAGGGCAAGGACCACTGATTTGGGTACTCCAGCTGGAAAATAAGCATTCCCTGCACATTCTGTGCGCACATGGGGCGAACACAGGATCATCTGCAGATTCTAAGCATATTGGGCAGTCTAGTTTTTCACCCTTGCGAAGAGCCTCTATGGCCTCTATAACATATGCACGCTGATTTGTAGAATTAGAGTTGAAATCGAGTAGTCTTTTTGCGAGTATGTCAAAGTCCACAGGTTTCTTTGAATCACTTCGGCTGCATATTTAAAGCCAGTTTTCATCATAAAGAGAACAGGGAACGGGTGGAAAACATTATGTAATAGCCATGAAGTTCCAGTGCTTAAAAAACAGAATTATATGACATTATATGTCTATCAGACACAACATGGCACCTCATGCTGCACCAAGACCTATTTTGTCATATGGTATCTTGTACAATGCTTCTTTGAGTAAAATTTACGAACTTACAAGCTCGCATTTTAACGTGTTTGCCACACCTACCTTGTGATCAGAAATGGATGGTTACAACACTGTCTCAACCGCAATAATAACCCAAGAATGTTGGCATAGTTGCTGAGAACATTTCCTTGCCCAACATACTGATCGAATTGATGCTGTTCATGTGACAGAAAAATTTTGAGGTGAGTCTAATTTTGAACTTGGGCTCCAATTCCAAGTATATTTTCATCACATTATGAGAAAAACGAAAGTGAAACAAAAAGGATATCAGTGATAGCAGTGGAAAACTTACTTTAGATTTCCTGAAGAGGGCATTATATAATTCAGCTTCAGCTGCTGACTGTTCACACTCAACTAATTCAGTGTGAGCTGGTGGAAGAACAAGTATGGGCCTGGATACCATGACATATTGAACGTCAATATGATGAAAGTTTTAAACATGTTGCAGAGGAGAAAGACCCAGTTTATTTGCAGTGAGAATGATCACCTTCCGCACTTGTCCTTTGTTTCCTTTGTTCTTCTTAACATCAATGGCTTCAAAATAGCCTTGACTAATTTCAAGCCTCGAGGATCACCATTCTCACAAGGCCGTTGAACCAATTTATTAAACCTACGGAGATGCAAAGCATAATTTATAAAAAAAAAAAGGGCAAAATAGAGTACAGCTACATAAGCTACACTTTTCTTTAATGTCAACCACAAGTTATCAATAGCATTTCGTCATACCATGCAAAATTGCCCCATGGCTGAACATGCAAGAAGCACAAGAGGCTGAATAGGTCTTCCAAGCTATTCTGCAATACATAACATGTATTTCATAAATGAGGCATATCAAGGTGAACTCTTTTAACCAGTAAGACAGAACCTCTTCGTAATAATTAATTAATGATTGCACAAGGCACTAATAAACAAGGTAAACCTGTAGAGGAGTTCCAGTAAGACACCAACGGCAGTGTGAGGTCAGTGTAAAAGAGGCTTGTGCAGGATACGATTTATGGGCTTTAATGGAATGAGCTTCGTCTAGGACCACCCTATGCCAGTTGACCCTGTGGTAAATGCTGTTCTCTCCATACTGTTTCAAAAGCCATTTGTGAGGAAACTTTTCTATGCAAATAATAGAAATTGAAATAAGGATGAGGCAACATCGTATTTACAGTTTTATATGCATCTCCAAGGACACGATATGTTGTTAAAACAACATCATGCGCTGAGATCACCCGAGGATCATTTGTTCTATCCCCACCGTAGTGAACAAAAATGGATAAACTTCCTGGCTTGGAATGGATTTCAAGCTCGTCCTGTGGAATGCAATGAGACTCTTGATAAGCTATCTAATCAGAAAATAAAATCCCACCCTTCCAAAATATAAAATTCCTAGGAAGACAGAAAGATGCAAATGGAAAATTACAGTACACAAGCGAAACTTGAAAATTTTATAGTACAGACATCATTGGTTCGGCATTTGACCCATTTTTATTTAATATTTCAAGACAAGGGAAACTTACCTTCCACTGACCTAGCAATGCCATGGGACAAACAACAAGAGTGCCGCCATCAACTTTGAATGCAGGGTCACTATGAGAAACTTGGCCCCTCTTCCTCGAAAGACCAGCATTATCTCCTCTCCCTTGTCTCGCAAGAATTAGAGCAATAGTCATGACAGTCTTCCCAAGTCCCATAGCATCTGCGAGAATCTACAAAGTAACGATTTTGTAGTCAGATAAATTGTTCAAACTGAATGTAAATTGTAGTGTATTTAAAGGCAAGGCAATCTCACTCCTCCTCTTGGCAATCGAAATGCAGGTGGGAGCTTAGTTGTTGCTTCCCCTGTGAAGTTGTTTACGTAAATAATGGGAGCCGTCCTGCAAGAGACCATTTGAGGTCAGGTTGCACATATATAATTGACCAAACACATAGCAAACAAGAATACTTGATTTCCCATTTTTCTCTCTCATTTCCCCCATTATCTTTCTATTTTACTTACATATCATCTATACGATAGGCTGCCCAGCAAGGATGAAGAGTATTTTCAGCATTCTGGGCATTAGTTCCTTTCTCTAGTTCTGACATCCAATACAGTGCTTGTTTCTGGTAAGGCTTTAGATCACACATCAGCGTGCTTGGCCCTTCCATCTCCTGAAGACATGAATTACACAATGGTTGATGGTAAATCAAGAAATATTAGCCAATCAGAAGATAAAATCATAATTAATTAGTCAACCAATCAAAGTTCTATACCTCCAAGTCGTAGACTTCAGATGCTCCAACAAGCTTATTCAAAGATGACTGTGACACAGCTTGTTCATCGTCTTGATCGGGAGGACAACCCTTTCTCCGTTTCAAGACGGGCAAATCTGAAGCAGCTTCATCTGTGTTACCCTGTAGCATCACATTATCAGGCTTCTGGTAATCAGACATTGCTTATAGAACGGGTTTCTTGTGCCTTAACCTAAAATAACTTCATATACTGAAGAACATCTTAAAAACCAGTGATAAGATTCACACATGTTGGACAAGAAATCTATTGAATGAAAAAAGCATTAAGGAAAGACTAGGTAGACAATTTGATGAAACTTCATTGCTTTGTTATACCCTAAATGCATGCAAGCATGACAGTTCATACATATGTTGACCACAATGATTCTTCGGTAAATGACTTGCAGAATCGCAAGCTTGACCATATTCAAGCATTAAAACAATTTATGAAAACATCAAATAAAATGAGAGGGTTATAGTTAACAATTATACATACCCTGATACTGAACAAACGTTTCCTAGAATCAAGTTCCTCTGGGGTAAAAGCAGCCTGATTTAAGATCATAGAAACACATTAACAATCCATCACAGGAAAAAGAAACGTAAACTGTAGAAAGGTCCATACATTCTGATATGGCTTCATTCCAATCAATTTGAACACCGCGGGAAGAGGATAAACAGAAGGGTCAATATAAGTAGAGCCATCAAGCTTCCATGAAGTATTGACTTCTGAAGTGAATGCAGAGTGGTGAACGTAAAAGCTGCAAAAGTCATCAATTAAATTTTTATCAAGATGGAATAACAAAATGACTAAGTTTTTCCCCCTCCTTTTCAGCGGTTCTAAGACAGTACAAAAGTACACAAAATATGCATCTAAATTTTATATATCTTATTGTGTCACTGTGAGCGTGCTTTGTATCATATTCAAATTATTACAAGTGATTTTAAATTAATATGCTAAAAACAATTCAAACTGAAATGGCCAAATGGAACTAGAATAATTTTATTGGTTAAGAGATTCTCAACCAGAAGACTCGGAACTTTACCTTACACACACCAAGACGTCTTGCATCATTTGTAAGACAGGTGGCGCAGCTACACATCGACCTCTAACCTTGATCCTTGCAGAACGAACAAGTGGGACAACCTCTTTAGCCCATTCCATAGGAACCCGTCCAACCTATGTTGAATCACAAACTCGACGCTGTCAAGTCTTATATCTTCGTTTTTATTCCATATGTAGAAAAATCACCACTATTTATATCAAAATAATTATACAAGCTAATAAAATTTAAAGGAAAAAACAAAATCCAGGTCAAAAAAAGGAAAAAAATATAGATAGTCAAAAAATAAGCCAACCTCTCCGGAACGCTTGGTTGAAATGCGAAGAATCCATTTTGAGTTTTGTTTCGCAAATGCAGATCGGAAATCGAAATGTACAATCTCATTGTCCACTAATTTCCTCCCTTTGGTAGTTGAAAGTGCAGTGATTATTGTCCTTCCCACTAAAAACCAGTCTGGTTCTCCTGGAAAGTCCCCATCCTCCACGTTTGCAGGTCTAGGTTCAACCTTTTCCTTTTTCACCTGCGAGGATTTCTGAAAACATGGAAAGGAACCAACTTCTTTGAGGATTTTCACTTCATCGTTATCAGGGATAGCCACTTCTTTCTTCTCAGAGACCTTATTCACAGAAGCCAAATCCTGCATTGCTTTCGAACGCTCAACCGGGACTGATGGTTGTTGTTCCTCAATGGACTTTAGATATTCTTCCTTTGACATAACTTTTGCATCTGTAGCCTTAAGGAACTCTTCATATCCAGCTTCCCATGAAGATTTCCGAGTACCGGTAGACCCTTGCATCTGGGTTTGGGTCATTAAAGACCTAGAAACATCAACATCCACTTTTTCTTCCACAGAAACCTGCATCTCAGGCTCCACATTGATTTCTTCCTTCGCTTCCTTCTTCACATTCAAGTCCTCGAGTGGTCGTGTCACTTCATGAGAATCATCGGAACCATTTTCTGCTTTCACTGGGTTTTGATTGTCAATCGCCAAATGAACGGGTTCCTCTTTGACCTCGCTCTTCAGACTCATTCCATTGGACATAACCGAGTCATCGAACCCCTCTTGCTTTATCGGCGTCGGTGCCAAAACCCTCGAGCCAGTGCTAGTAGCGGCCCGAACCACCGTGACGGGCCGGGCTAGAAACCCGGGATTGTTGTTGAGGAACTCCACGGCAGCGTCCACGTCGAACCAAGATTCCGTCAGAGCGAGGCGAACAGCCGGTTCAGGAACCTCGAAACTGAATCTTGACTGTACTTTCTTGATCGACTCGGGCAAAGAATCTACCTCCATCATGCAGATAATAGCATTCAGCAAAAAGTTCGAATATCACAGAGGGAAAAATTAAGACTTTAGAAAAGATAGTGAGAACCAAAAACTCAGAGGAAAAGAATCGAAAGGGAAGAAGCAGGAAAAATAAAAATAAAAAACCGGAGGAGACGATGAAGATGAAAATGAGCGTGGCGCTAAGAACTTGAAATTTATAATGGAGTCGAAGGGATTCAAAATGGCGCGAAACCAATTTTACCGGAGAGTTTAGTATATTATTATAATCATTTTTGGCGCGAAGGGCGGTAAACCATTTCTACCGTTGTCACTTTTGGAGGGAAATTATTGTTTAGTAATGGTCAAATAATTATATAATTATGATTAGGTTGGGAAGCTAATAAATACACCAATATTGCCAATATATGTAAATGGAGATTTTCATCATTTTCATTGTTGGATCCCACCACTCTTGTGATTTTTTCTCTTTTAATAAAATACAAGTTTTGCTCACACACACACACACACAACTTTTATGCCCTTGAATCACAATCTTCATTGAGTAGCCTGTTTTTCAGTAATTTGCTTTAAAGTTTAAACTTTTACTTTTGAGAAATTTTTTTTTTAATTTTTTGTTATCAATTACAAATAAAGTTACAAGCAAGATCGAATCCACAAACCCACATGTACATAGAAGCTCTCATGCCACCGAAATACTAAGCATTAGCAATTAAAAATTTTTGAGGCTTGCTAAGCATAATGTTTGCAAAAACAACTTTTATCCTAATTAATTTTTGCAATGTAAATATTAATTAGTATAATGTGATTTATGTTTGAATATTTTTCAAAAAAAATTAGTTTGAAAGAAACTTATCTCAATAATATATTAAAGTTAATTTCAAAAAATTCAAATTTGACAAAAAAAATCAAAAGCCGTAAATAAGAAAAGAAATTTTAAAATTTTAACATGACATCTAAGCAAAGAGTCATTTGTTCAAGTCAAACGATGTTAAGTATCTAGAAAATAAAGTGAGTTTGAAACTTCCCAACTTCATTTTGTTACCAGTATTACGCATTAACAAGAGACACTTGTCTGTAGCAGGAGCTATTGCCATTTACAAACTCTTCTAATGTCATCCACAGGGATATTGTTAACCTTTTTTCTTTTACTTGTGTGCAGGTAACTTCTCAAGATTCTAGGCACAGTTTATTTCTTAGTTCTTGTCTCTCTTTTACTTCTTATATCCAGTTATGCTCTTATATTGCCTTTGCCAAGTTTGAAGTCTCACTCTTTGAACTTTGGCTTTCTAACGCTTACATTTTGTAGAAGGGAGATAAAAAAGCAGGGTTTTAAAATTTTGAAGAAAAAAAAAGATGCAAGATAAAAGAATAATAAATATTAACTAAACATTTCTAAATCCAGCTCATTAAAATTTTTTCTTTCTTCTATTTCCGTTATCCCATGGGGAAAGTTGGTCTGCAATAAACACCACCTCGTTCTGATGACCAATGCGTCTTCCCCAAGATAATGTAACAACTACTGACATTCTTTGGCTACCAAGCCCTTCTTTTAATTTTTTTTTTCCATTTGCTATTTCTATTTGGGAAAATGACATATAAAGAAACCTGAAATAATAAAATGCCAAAATTGGAAGCTAAGCAAATATATTACCAGATAGGGAAGTGTTGCCTGATTTGGGATTATGCAAATGTTGCATAATTACAAAACAACCCCTCATATGCAAACAAAAAAAGTGACTGGTGGAAGTGTGCAAGTTGTGGTGGGAGCTGGAGGAAAAACTTGGGAGGGACCATGAACGTGGGAGCATGAACGCGCGAAGCAACAATTGAATGACGGAAGCGAGGTTAGTATTCAGTGACTATATTGTTCACCTCTGTCTTTTGTCCGTCTCCTTTATGCGCTGGTTGATTTTCCTCTTCCCGTTGGATGGCAATGTCGTCGATGTGGGGATGGTTTTGAGGTGGAGAGGGTGGCGAAGCATGGAAACGGTGTGGGTATATAGAAAGTGTGGGGAAGGACGGTGATCAGAGGGTGAATGCACGGGGAAGGAAAAACACTGAGGGAGAGGGGTTTGATGGTATCACAAGTGGGTTAGAGTGATTAGTGTCAGATAAAGGGACAATGTTGGAGGGAGATTCGAATAATGGAGTGGATTGATTCTGAGAAAACGAAGCATTAGTGTGGACAGGAAAGAAATGAGTGTTTTGTTGCAAATTATAAGCATGAATGTGTCAAACCCTAAGTTGGTCGTGTAAGTTGATGATGATGGTATTAAGTCATATAATCATTTGACTTCTGTTATTAGTGCAGGTAATGAAGATAAATGAATTTCGAAGCTGGGTCATCTTGTAAGAAGGAGCTGTTCTGTTATTTTCATGTGGCGGGGGGAAATTTATGACAAATGGTGAAGGTGAAGTGAGATATAATGGAGGTGGCGTGAGGTTAAGAAGCATTAAGGATGGGCTGACACTTGATGAATTGAGGCTAATGATATTTGAGTGGATTGGTGGTGATGGAAGAAATTATGACATTAAGTACACAGTGGCCTTTGATGAGAAGACATTGATTGACCTTCATGACAATGCTGAAATGTATAACCTCTTTCAATACAATGAGAACAGCGGTCATGTGTATGTGGCCGAAAAAAGACAAGTGGGTCCCCAACCAAGGGACAATGTAAAAATGTAAGTGGAAGTTTATCCTAACTATTTGTTGTCATTTATGAATTTGTTCTTGTTATTTGTGTTAACGAGTCTTGTCATTATGAATGCAGAACAGAAAGATTTATGGGCATGTCACAGCAAACGGAACTGGATGCGTCTCCCATTAGTTTGTGTTGTGATTATGGCTGGCTTAGTGAAGAAAATGCTCGTAAATGTGACAATGATGAAATAAGTAGGCCCTCTAATGTGGATACATCTATTGGAGCTGAAGATATGGATGGTAGTGAGATGGTTCATACGGAATGGAGGGGACTTTTTATAGGAGTAGGCCAATGTTTTCCTAGTGCAGATGTATTTCGGGTGTCTGTATACAAGTTTGCACTTACAAACAAGTTTGTGGCCAAGTATGTGAGGAATAGCAAGGAATTCATGTTGATAAGGTGTAAAGTTGAGGGTTGTCCATGGAAGTTATGTGCAAATTGTTAGGATTATGGTTTTGATGATAACAAAGTTAGATTAATTAGGTGAAGTATGTTGATCGATCATTTGATCGATCAAATGATTATCGATAAGCTATCAAATAACTGTTCAATATAAATCAGCTTTATATTAAGTATTTTAATCGAAGAGCCATTCGATGAGTTGTTTATCGATAAAATGATCGATTATCGCTAACATGGAAGTTACATAAGGTTACAGTTAATTATCGATCACTTGATCGATAACATCAGATAAACGAACAAGTAACAGATAAAGAAAACCAAATCTGAAGTGCATTTATCGATTACTTGATGGATAAATCAGTTATCAATAACGACTTCGATAAGAGGTAACACACTCTACTCGTTCTGCACATTAATTCTGTCATCATTTATCCATCATATTTTCGATCACTTGTTTATCGATCACATGATCAAACATTATGTTCTAACTCTTTGTATGCAGGTACTCATCATAGCTGCTGAATCGAAAAACTTATCGATCACTAAGTTATCGATCAGATGATCGATAATCAATGTTCTATCTGCTCTTTCTTAGTTTTTCTACAACCAAATTATCGATAACATTATCGATAATTTAGCCTGTCTGCATAGTATCTTTTCATATAACATGATCGATAAAGAGCACCAGGATTAGTATTAATTTATGTTGAATCACTTTTTCGATCTTCTAATCGATCATTGATTTATCAATAATATGATCGATCATCCGATTTCCTGAAACTCATGTTTTCACATGACATGATCGATAATCAGTTTCTTCACCTTACAAGTTTAAATCTCTGTCTTTCATTTTATCGGTCACTTGATCGAATATTCTTTGATCGATCACCTGTTCGATAATTCCAGATAGTCTGTGTTTTTCGCTGAATATATTCTTACTCATTGTTTATCGATAACCTTATCCTTCATCCATTTATCGATAATTTGTTCGATCATCAATGACTGAAGTTTCATTTCTGTAACACTTGAATTATCGATAATCTGTTCGATCACTTGTTCGATCTTGGAACGATTTCCGTCAACTATGATGATTCTTAAAATCAATGATCCAACACTTGATCAATAATATTGTTGAACTGATTCAAAAAGCTTTCACTCTATTTATCGATAACCTGATCGATTACCCTGATCGATCAACAAGTAATCGATCACCACTTCGATCAAGCATATCCAGGATATCTTTCTGCTCTTTTTACAGATAAATCATTTCGTCCAGAATCATTGAATGATAAATTCGTTTTTCTTCTTGATCATAATTAAAGCCTACACCACAAGACTCTTACTTGCTTAAAGTTTAAAATATGCAGATTACTAAGAAAGAATACAACGGCTCTTTAACGGGATTACGTAGACTACAACCTACAGTGTCAGAAGCTCAAACGCATTAATGGCGGAACCGTTGAAACAGGCGAAACACACAAACGGAGTCACAACGGCTAGAAGCTCTTCCGTCTAACGGCTACTTAACAATCTCAACTATAAAAGGCGCGAAGAAGCATTAATGAAGCGGATTGAATACCAGAACTACCATCTGTGATTATTAAGTCTAGCATTCAATACTCTGTTTTCTTCTATATTACTGAGCGTCAGTGTTCATCATTAATTTCACTCTGTAAGAGAGTCAATAACTATTCTTCATTAATTACTATTGAGTGATACTCAAGAGTGTGGACTCTTGAGAGGGCTTGTATCCTTACGGGAGTAAGGGGGAGTGATTGAGCGATTCAATTACTGTACCGAGGCACCAAGAGCCCTATCGATCTTGGAAGATAGTGAAATACTCAGAGGTGTTCTGAGGACTGGATGTAGGTCAAGTGGTTAAGACCGAACCAGTATAAATCTTGTGTCTTCCCTCTACGGTGAAATCTCTCCTAACTCTAACTCTCTGTTTTCAATACTGTCTCGTTTTAATTTCGCAATTTTTTTTAACTCACCCAATTCACCCCCCTCTTGGGTGAGGTTGATTCTAACACAAATCATGTGGGGAAGAGTTGTGATGTGCTACGAGTGACGACATTTATAAACTGGTATGTTCATTCTGCCTAAGATAGCTTGGACGTGATGCATAGTAGAAGAGCTAGTTTGAACTCATCAATAATAATTGATGAGATGAGAGATCATGCAGACAAGCGCACTTCTGAGATAAGGAAGAGGTTGAAACGAGAGTATGGGATTGATCTAACATATAAACAGACTTATAGAGCAAGAGAGAAGTCATTGGAAGACATATATGGCAGGCCTGAACAATCATACATGCTCATACCATGGGTATGCGAAAGGATAAAGGAAACAGATGAAAAATCCGTGGCTGAATGGACTGCTATTGGGAACCGGTTTGAGTGTGTTTTCATTACCTACGGGGCATGCATTAAGGGTTTCTTGGGTGGCGCGAGGCATATTATGTATGTTGATGGAACTCACTTAAGCGGACCATATAAGGGGACAATGTTGTCAACTTCAACTTATGATGCAGATAACGAGCTGCTGCCGTTTGCAATTGCAATTGTGAAGGGAGAAACACTAGATGACTGGACGTGGTTTTTCTATATGATAAAAAAAATCCTGGGTTCTGTGGAAGTAACAATTGTATCAGATCGACACAATGCTATTATCAGAGGAGTGACATCAATCTTTGGGGGTCAAAGGCATGCCTTTTGTTATAGACACATCAAGCAGAATTTTAGTTCAGAAGTTATGAAAATGAATAAGGGGCAAACAAGGACAAATGGCCGATCAAAGAGGATGCACTATATTTATTGGATAAAATTGCATGTGTAAGGACGAATGAGAAATTTGAGGCGACAATGGATGACATGAGATCCTTTTCTCCAAGGCTATTTGATCGGCTTATTCATCATGGGGATGTAGATAGGTGGGCTAAAAGCAGGTTCCCATATAAAAGATGGGACAATATTACAAGTAATATAGCAGAATCATTCAATGCATAGATGGTTAATGAGAGAAAGCATACTGTAACCCGATTGATCTATGAGCACCGAGATAAAGTTGCAAGAAAGCTGCATGCCTCCTATGTGGCTATGACCAAATGGAAGAATTGCGTTGATCCAAATATAGAGAGTAAGGTGCTGGATATGGTGGTTGGGTCTGACCATATGTATGCTGAAAATTATGGTGGGGGAAGAGTAAAGGTGACAACATCACGTGGAGACCATCGGGTTGATCTTGGACTACACCAATGCAGTTGCAGATCTTGGCAAATGACAGGGATCCCTTGTTCCCATGCTTGTGCTGCCATCAAGATTGTGCACGGCAATGTTTATGATTATATTGATAATTGCTATAAAAAGTCATCACAAGAAAAGATTTATGCTCGCAGTTTAATTCCTGTGGTAACAACAGACATGCCTCACCCAAATGACTACTATAGAATAGAAAATGTCAGTGAGCAAGTTTTCTTGCTACTTCCCATGACATCCCGACCACCAGGAAGGCCAAAAGTAAACAGGGATGAATCACAGTTCCAGAACAACGGATATACCACTGTGGAAGATGCCACCAACCTGGACACACAAGGAGAAATTGCAAAAATCCTAACCCATAATGAAGTTTCGAGTACAGTGGGGATGGGTCATTTTTTGGTGTACATAGTTGTATGCTCCGCCCTTGTCAACTTTTTTGGGACTGGGGTTGTAGTTAGGAGCTAGGTGGAGACATTTTTTTGTAAGTAAGATGATAGAAATTTTAGTGATAAGGGAGCATTAAGTGTGGCTAGTATCTTAATGTCCACTTGTCGTTGAATACATGAAAGGAAATTACTGTTATGGGGATGTTAACTTTTGTTAATGGCACATTACTTGTCATTTTAAAAATTGTTCTAGTCATTGGCAGTGATGCTATCAGCATAAGCTGACAGCCGATGTTAAACTGATGTTATAAAATCAGATCAGGTTATCCTTATCATTATCGTTGTCATATTCAGATCACTTGTTGTCATTTTTAAATTTGTTCTGGTCATTGGTAGTGATGCTATCAGCATAAGCTGACAGCAGTGTTAAACTGATGTTATAAAATCAAACCAGGTTATCCTTATCATTATCGTTGTCATATTCGGATCACTTGTTGTCATTTTTAAATTTGTTCTGGTCATTGGCAGTGATGCTATCAGCATAAGCTGACAGCGGTGTTAAACTGATGTTATAAAATCAGACCAGGTTATCCTTATCATTATCGTTGTCATATTCGGATCACTTGTTGTCATTTTTAAATTGGTTCTGGTCATTGGCAGTGATGTTATCAGCATAAGCTGACAGCTGTGTTAAACTGATGTTATAAAATCAGACCAGGTTATCCTTATCATTACCGTTGTCATGTTCGGATCACTTGTTGTCATTTTTAAATTGGTTCTGGTCATTGGCAGTGATGCTATCAGCATAAGCTGACAGTTGTGTTAAACTGATGTTAAAAAATCAGACCAGGTTATCCTTATCATTATCGCTGTTATATTCGCTTCACTTGGTGTCATTTTCTATTGGATACCAACAGGATATATTGAAGTAAAATTTAGCGACCTCAACAAAAAATGGAAACCAATAGCACATGTCCAATGGGGTTGTTGTCATCATCTGTTTTGGTGTGGTTAAACTTAGATTCATTCATGTCACTAGGGAATAAATTGGCATCATAGATCTCAACAATCATACATTTATGGACACTAATATCTGTTAACCATAATAATACACAGTAAATTTTTGGTCAACCTACAATGCACATTAAATACAGCAATCTAACAGAGGACAAGTGAATTATGACCCTAACATCGAGACACCTAAGACCGACGCCTTTTCTTGGACTTTGTGCTCTTGGTTGGTTGTGGTCATCGAATAAGGGCCAATGCCTCATCACGTTTTTCATTCAATTCATGATTCACTAACCACCATGTCAGGTCACGACGAAAGCCAGCAACTTCTTCCTCTGTGTAGGTAAGGGTCACACCAGGTTCCCATCTTCTCAGCCACATCATGCAGTGCACCCCACAATCCCTCCTGTGGACGCAACAATATCAGCACAGTTAGTTAACACATCTGATATGTGCATTTACCACACAGAAGTCAAATTTGACAAAACTGACAGGTTATTCTACTGGGGAACTTATGCAAATATCATGGGAGACATTGGCTTTTTCCCAACCAATCCTGGCTTGACCAAGTCCAGTATAATATTGAACCTCATCCTTTGCAACAAGATTTAGGACCAATTAGAAAGTTTAATGATTTTCCAAGTTAAAAAACTAGAGTAAAGATAATGAGTTTTTTCTTACACAGTCATCCACAGCCATTTCCACTGGGTCTTTGATGACAACCTTCTTCTTCTTCTTTCTGTCCTTGGTTCCAAATTGGTCCCTCATGGAGTCTAATACGTGGAAATCCAATGTGCTAGGATGAATGGCAACGCAAAACCAGTGTTGGCCAACAAGAGCCGGACCAATTATGAAATCATATTTAGCTAAGTTGTAGCCAAGGAACTCAGGAAGAAAGAGCTTCTTATATTTTTGGGCTTTCCAGGTTGGATCATGTGCCATCATGTTCTGCATGACATGAAATTGTTAATCCATTAACAGAGAACAAGTCATTTCCAATTCAATTGCTGTCATTGGTATTTGCATTTGGAATTATGCAACCTCACCATGAAATCAACATCGAAAATGTGCCTCTTCCCTGGCCCCAATTCTACCTTCATGTCCTCCATCGCTCCCTTACACACCAAATTAAGCACCTACGGAACACAAGTGAAAACGTCATTCTGATACAATAATCTCACCAAACATTATCAAACATAATCATGGGTGCAGGGACAGAGCATTCTAAAATACCCTGTTATTTACTCTGTTCACTCCACCCAGGGAAAACAGCTGTTGTCAGTCTATATCTTCATCACACATTTTGATGACAATCCTGCAAATATTATCAGATGTCAGTGACAGAAAGTATGGTGTTGGGGACATCAATACTTGTCATCCCCATGTATTTTATTGTCATTTTCAATTCTATTGCTGTCATTGTCAGGGCACACTATGTCATTTAAAAACAAAACGCTAGCTGGGGATATACTTACATATTCCCCTCTTCCTCTCCCTTGGGTCTACGGGATATTAAAATGAAAAAGATGTCCCTTTCCTCCTTTGGCCTCTTTGTCCTTGGAGCTGCCTTGAATTCTATCCACGAAGATTTAATTGTGAAACTCTTTGCCCTTGTTGACCTCCTAACGTCAATCGATTTTTCAAGCCCTCCTTCCTCCCCACTGTCACTGTTCACCCATTCGCGATCCAACAGCAAAGGAACATTGGTAGGGGTCATTGTCAGTACATGTGTATCTTCCTCACCCTCATCATCTGAATCCCGAACCTCCTTATCATCATCTTCCACCTCCTCAACCACATAATCATGACTGACTTCCATGTCATCATGGTCATCTTCCTCCTCATCAACCACATGACCTCCTTCCTTGTCATCATGGTCATCTTCCTCCTCATCCTCATCGTCATCATCATCACCTCCATGACCATCACGGTCACCCTCTTCTTCCACCTCCTCAACCATGTAATCATCACTGACTTCCCTATCATAAAGGTCATGCTGTTCTTCATCCTCATCCTCATCCTCATCCTCATCCTTCTCATCATCTCCTTTGCTGGTTTCATCCTCATCAAATTCCTCATCTACACTTCCCGCTGCAACCTCTCTTGCAATCTCCTTCACCACTCGGTCAACATCATCAGCTTCTTCAGCATCGTTACCAACTGCATCACCAACTGTTTCAACCCCTTCTTTAGCAGTGGCATTCTCATTCCCCATCCCCTTAACTTTGGTGTTCAATCCAATCTGCAGTTTGAGTAGCTCATCATCAAGAGCCTTCATTAACGTCCTCTGGCTTTCTTCAAGCTTCTTGACAAAACGAGCCCTCAACTCCTTCAATGCCTGCATACACAGTAAATGAAGAAATCAAAAAAATTGTTCACTGTTATCGAATGCCAGTATCTCACTGGTCATTTGTAAATAAAGTCTTATCATCTCAAGTATCAACCTTGCTAATAGACTGACTTAAACTCAGGTCACGTATATTTTCTAAGTTCCCACATACCGGATCTAAAGACTGCAGAATTGGACTGTCCTCATGTCCTGCTGAGTAAACCTCGCTGCCACTGCTTCCATGCAATATTCCCATGCTGCTACCTCTCTCTTTCTCCACCCTCTCCTTTATCTTCTCCTCGGTCCAATATTCAATGGTGCTTGTTGAACCCCGGTCAACAGACAATCCCAGCGGGAAACGCTCAGCAAAATACAGCTGCAAAACCAAATAAAGATAGGTCACACTTCTGCAACAATAACATAAAACAAAAATATAGTGAACTATAAGAAAAATATTGACTTACCAGCAGCAAATAAAGACACCCTCCAACATTGCAGGTTCCTTTCTTCTTCTTCTTTGTCATCTTCACAAAGTCTCCCATTTCCTTCCACAGGTTCTTGATTATGTACGTTGACCAATCATATTTCCCAAACCCATCCATCGTGTGACGCATCACTTTCAACAAACGTATATGTACAGTTGTGCTTGACCCAGGACATAAAAAAGCTCCAACTATATAAAGCATAAATAGGAACTCCAAATTGTCGCTTTTTTCCCTAGATAATATCCTCTTCAGTATCTGGGTAAATGGAACCTTCTAATAAGTGTCCTTCAACCTCTTGTATTCCGGGTCATTCTCACTAACATCAGATTTCACTTCCTCCCCACTGTCAGGTACACCTAGAAACTCATGGGCATCTTTTACCTCAATTGCCTGCCCTTGCCCTCTAATGGTCAAAAAATGCGTTGGTGGGTCATAGCATCTCAATAATGACACAAGTAGATCACGTGGAAGTTGCTTCACATTCACATTAAGCAAGTTCCCAAATCCCATCCTCTGAACTTTCTGCCTCAACCGCCTGTTCTTCTTCACATATTCAGCCAATGATAGAAATCCAGGCAATGAGCACCGGGTGTACAAGGGCACATCATACTTCTTCTTCTCACCTTTCTGTGGCTTCGTTTTCCTTGCCCTCTCATTATACCTATCTTTCTCTTCTTCACTCAGGGCCCTCCAAGCCTTCCCCACTTCAATTTTTTCTTCTCTTGCGTTTTTGCACTTCTCCCCTCGTTTTTCCATATACTCCCTTCTAACAACACAAGCCCACTGTGCACTTCTTTGCTTGTGGACCCTTCCCCTTCTTCCAACACCATCTCGTATAGTTCTGCAAAGTCATCAAGGTACCATCATTAAATCATAATTTTTATACATATACTAGATATCTAGTTCTTTCCAGATTTGTTATGGTCATTTCCAGTTCCTTCATTGTCATTTACAATATGGCCATTACAGAGTGACAATAAGGATGCTACTATGAATATGGTCGTTTCCAGTTAATTTATTGTCATTACCAATATGCCCATTACAGACTAACAGTTAGGTCATTACTATGAATATGATCATTTCCAATTAATTCATTGTCATTATCGACATGGCCATTACAGTCTGACAGTAAGGTCATTACTATGAATATGGTCATTTTAAGTTCCTTCATAGTCATTTACCAGTATGGGATTGTCATTTCCAGTTTAGTCATATAATCTTTCCACTCATTCAGACAGTAAGGTCATTACTATAAATATGGTCATTTTAGGTTCGATCATAGTCATTTACCAGTATGTTATTGTCATTTCCAGTTGTTCATATAATTTTTCCAGTCAGTAAGACAATTTTCCTACTGATTTGAAAACCCATTTTTCCAGTTCTCAACTACGTTATAAAAAACAAAATAGCTTGCCACAGAGACTCAGCATAAACCCTTAATCACCATTCCTGTCATTCACAAACTTCATCGCGTTATATCTAAATATTGCCCAATCATTGCTTACCAGACTCACCCAGAAACGTCAACCATAGCACGAAACTTAAATGCCTAAACTTACCTCAGTGAAATGCTGTTTGATGCTTGTTAACTGCAATGGTGAATCACCATGCGCCAACCTTCGTTTTTCCACACAATCAGTCAGACGCAACCACGTTCGTCCTTCGAACAGCACACCCTTCCACTTCCAACTCCTCTGCTCTCTTACGCACACACTATTTTGGGGTCCTCAATTGTCCAGCTTGCCGGCGTTTTTAGGGCAACAATGGGGATGGTGGAAACGAGAAATTGGGAAGCACGACGGGCAGTGCACGAGTGTTCACGCCTTCTCTCACTCTGCTTTCAAACACTGACTGACAGGGGCTGTTTCGTAATTGTGCAACATTTGCATAATCCCAAATCAGGCAACACTTCCCTATCTGGTAATACATTTGCTTAGCTTCCCATTTTGGCATTTTATTATTTCATGTTTCTTTATGTGTCATTTTCTCTTTCTATTTTTGATTTTGACAGCTATCTTTCTTTCTCTTACTTTATCTATCTAATAGATTTGCATGTGCTTTATAAAGATTAATAGAAGAATTACAATAAAGTTTCAAATAAGTAATATAATTATTAAAAAGTCTCATTGATAATAAAATAGCTTGTAATGACAAGTTTCAGGATAATAAATGACAACTACTCACTTGTTATCGAAACTTATTAATAATTATCTTCTTTCCTTAGAAACCTCATTATAATTCTCCTAAGATTAATTTTGTACTCTTTTTAATTTCTCTAATTTTATTTATGTTATAGTTTTTTGGATGTCACTGTTCTTTTTTTATATATAAATATTTTTCCTGCAGATTGTTGGTTAGTTTATTTATCGTTTTTGCCTGTTCATTCAAGCTCTATCTTCATCCTTCACGCCTTAAGTCTTAACTGAGGAAAGATGCGATTGCTGCCGGTGAAGAACATCATCTTTCGTGCGGTTGGGATCACTATCTCTTTGCTTAAATCATGTGTTCCCATCGTGTACATGTTTCCAAGGTTCAAACTCTCATCAATCTCCATTGGAATCTCCAAGACACTGTCAAAATCATTCAACACCATTCCAATTACCTAGTTCTTCATTTCAAGAATGAAATGGATTGTGCAATTATTCTCAGTCAAAAGACTCAAGATATTGCGTTAGCTGTCCACGAGCGGATCCCAGATACCGCAATCACAATGGTTTCCTTCCCTGCTATACATGTATCGTTGCAGGTTCTAGGACTTCCTCTACATTACTACCTCTGGTTCTTAATATAAAACTTTATTTGACTTTTATTTTGATTCTAAATATAAAACCCCAATTCACTTTCCTAAAGTAATCTTTCTAACAATGGTAGTTCTATAACTAATACACTTTATTAGTAAGGATATTTTAGGAAAAATAACATCTATTTGTTACAAATAACTAATTTAACTTATTTCTTTAATCTTGTCAAATTAGTTAAATAACTCTTATAATTAGAGCCAGAGGTAGTATTATATTGGGGAATTTGCTAGCAAATAGATAGTTTATTATTTGGGGAAGTCTTAGCGTTTGATCACACTTGTTCGTCCTCTCCAAGTGGTCTCCGTTTCAAGGTTACCTTCCTGATGCAGTTTCCTTCACTTACGGTAGGTGAGTTTGAGTTGAGTTCCGGTGCTAAGATTCCATTTTCAGTGCTTTTCGCACATTTGGGAAGGTGCACTACGCATTTAAGTTTAATATCTGTGGCCAAGATTTAATGTTTTTGTTTTTTAAAGATATTTTTCTTTTAATAGATACATAATTCAAAATAAATATAATCCTTTAACAGTAAATTTTTTAAAAAATAAATTTTTTATTTAGAAATCATTTGCTGAAGATGTTAAATCTAAATTGTTAAAACTAATTTATGAATTAAATTCGTTGTGATGATAAATATCATAATACTTATCTTTACAATGAACACTAAAACTGATTCCACTTGCCATATGATGGGTGTAAGGCGGCATTATTATACAAAGTCGGTGCCTTTCTTTAATGCGCATTTAAGTCAAGTGGGTCCAAGATCTAGTCATATCAGAGGTAATCAAGATTTTTATGATTTTAGGGGGTGTTTGGACACCCTCAAAAGTGTTTTTCAGAAACACTTTTCCGTAAATCGAAATAAATTCCTCCACATATTTACTTAGTATACTATAAAAGCACTTTTAAAACTATAGTTTTGATTCTATCTAAATACCTTTTTAGTTACATAGTTGGGCGTCCAATGTAGACCTGTACATCGTCTGAGTTTTCCCATTCCCTAATGGGCTTCGCATTTACTTCATTAGAATCTCCAAAAGTCCAAGCTTCATTGGAATCTGCAAATGTATCCTTTTCAAATGCATCCACCAACTCCACCGACTCTCGTAGTGCTGTCCAATCTGTTTCAAGTTCCACATCATCAATGAAGTCTTATATACCTATTAGTAGGAAACAGTGGCGAATTGAATCTTCTCATCCCAGTTCCAAGCGATCCAAGGTAGTTTCTCCAAGCCACATTGCTTTCCACTTTCCATGCCTCTTGTTTAGGCATCTCTAGTCCAAGAAACACTATGTCCTCTTTCCATACTTCCACTTGTCGTTTGAGGTCTCCAGAGTTTCGCTCTATTTGTCACGATGAGCTCTTAATCAACTTGTTGTGTTCTTATTTATTCGTTGTCTCCAAGAAGCAACGACAACGAGCGTTTCACTCAAGAGCTTTGGAACCTGTTGCTGGTAAATGTCCTTTGAGTATAAAAAAGGCATCGATGGAAGCTACTCCTTAAATCCAAGGCGCCAAGTCTTTATAAGATGAAGCATCGTTGTTTTACAAGAAAGCGTTCACGAGATGAGCTTTATAATCATTTTCAGGTTCCTGCAGAGCTTATTATGCCAAAAAGGTCCGCACATATGCATGATTATATCGAGGAACTCTAAGTTCACTACCAAATCCAATAGCTACTTAGAGGTCCATCTTGTAGCATTGCTGTCTTAATATTTTTTGGGGTCCTTTTATTTTCTATCTATTGTGTTTTTGTTATCAGCTTCTTCTATCCATGCAAAGTGATAGAGCTCTCAGACTTATTTTGGATGGAGGTTTAAGGGAGCTTGTTTCGAGAAGTTGGGTGTGGTTTGTTCGTCGAGAGCAAGGAGTATAGCAGCTTCTCATTCTTGCATGCTGAAAATCATCTTGTTCATGTCCAGGATCAAGCTGGCATATTGTTACGCACAGGCTTTGTTGTTTTTTTTTCCTTGTCTCCATTGTTGTTTGGACTGTTTTTTGTGTTTGCTTTTCTGTCCTTATGATTCTGGCTGGCCTATCAATTTGGTGTCTTTGGGCTTTGCTCAAATTGTCCAATGTTGATGAGCCAACCTAATCTTATATTCATTTTATTTGGGTAATTAAATTGCTTTTAATTCAAAAATATATAAAAATTATACTTTTTGGGAAAAATGACGAAAAAGGAAGTCGGAAATTATTAAATCACAAATGAGGTTTAATAATAATACTTTATTTAGTGTTGACAATACTAAACTTGCAAATGACAGCAAATTTTTGTAAACGTTTCTTATTTGGTATTTAGTAATTACTAACTTTAT